TTGGAACCAGCTCTTTCCTGGGGTGCCAATTGAGCTTTGGTTCACGTAATATATCCTTTCTTCCCCACTTGGCAAACACCTGTACCAGGAGAAGAGATAATGTAGTATAGCGGTTAAAAACACAGACCTTGGGATCTGACTGGTCCCATTTAAATCCCAGCCTCATCACTGAGTACCTTTACGAATTTCAGACAAGCCACTTAAGCTTTCTGACTTTAGTTTATCCATCCTTATGGTGGTGGAAAATAACAGTAACAACCTAGGATTCAATGTGTTAGGGGTTTAGAATGTCTGTTCAGGTTACTGTTACTGTTACACTATCTTATATATTTCTCTCACATCTATATTTACCTTTTTTATTGAAGAATAGCTGGTTTACAATGCTGTGCTAATTTCTGGTGTACAGCATAGTGATTCAGTTATACACATATATATATATATATATGTAAACACTCCTTTTCATATTCTTTTTCATTGTAGACTATTACAAGGTATTAAATATAGTTCCCTGTCTTATACAGTAGGACCATGTTGTTTATCTGTTTTATGTATAGTAGCTTGTGCCAGCTAATCTCAAACTCCTAATTTATCCCTCCCCTTTCTTTCCCCTTTGGTAACCATGTTTATTTTCTATGTCTGTGAGTGTTTTTCAGTTTTGTAAGTAAGTTCATTTGTGCCTTTTTTTTTTTTAGATCCCACATACATATTTACCTTTTTACCTGCCCTGTTTACGAAATTACTCCCAATTTTTAAAAACTAACTGGGAATATTCCTTCCAGTATCTCCAAAAGCCGAGTATGGGACATCCCAGGTGCCTTGGTAAATACGGACAAATGAATGGAAATCCACTGGGCCCTAGATATGAGCTGTACAACCTCTTCAGAAACTAAACCATGGATTTGCTCTTCATCTGATTCCTTGTAAATCCACTTAGGAATGGTCCTGGGGAAGGAAGGAGTAGAGTGAGGCTGGAGTAGGAACCTGGTCTTTCTGATGGATTCTGTGTCCTGAAACATCAAAGTCAGCATTTCTCCTCAATTTGGGGATGAGTTCTCACTTGCTCAGGTTATGTCATGAAATAGTGTGACATCAACCCAATTCCAAAGCAAGGTCGTGTGTTTCCACGGAGCTTGAGGATACTTTGTCCCATGATTACAGGTGAGAGTGCAGAAAGGACAGCGCTGATCAGGTGACTAATTTAATGTGGATGTTTTCATAGACACTGGGAGACACTTTTTATATGCCGGCAATAAAGGCTTTGAAATTGCCACTGACTTATTTAGTGTTGTTTCCAGCCTTTACCACATCATTAAACAATACTGCACAACCAAAATTCTACTATCAAGTTGGCTGTACTAACTATAATGTCCTATCCTGGATTAGATCCTGGAACAGAAAAGGGATGTCAGTGAAGAAACTAGTGAAATCCCAACAATCTCTATAATGTAAAATAATGTATTAATGTTGATTTCTTTATTTTGACAGGTGTACCAGAGTAATGCAAGATGTTAACGTTAGGGGAAAATGGGTGAGGAGTCTACAGAACTCTGTGTATTATCTTTGCAACCTTTTTATAAATACAAAATTATTTCCAAATTAAAATTTAATTTCCAAAAAGAATGTGCTTTTAGTACAAGCAAGTTGAGAAATGTTGATCCAGTTTGTATCTTGTTCTCACAGCCATTTGCTCACATCTCCCATTCTTAACACTAAGGGGAGCCTGACTCTCAAAAGGGGTGGGGGTGTCATTGGCAGGCAGGGAGGCTGGGGTCGGGGAGACAGAGTATGTTCACAGCACTGGAAGACAAAATGCGCCTTCAAAAGCAAATTTTAATTATACAGAAGCCGAGGAGCGTTTGCAGAAAATCACTATGTCATCTGAATCCACATCCTGTTAATCAAAGGGGTCGAAGCCCTTTTGATCATCAGACTAAATATTTTTAGGCAATATCCCTGAATGCCTGGAAAGACCATGAACAGCATCCACCGAAGAAAAAAATCCAGCTTCAGATAAAAAGGCAAGGTGTGCATATCACAGGAAAAACCCACCATAGGAGACTGATAAAGAAAGGCTGGCAAAAAAAAAAAAATTTCCCCATATTGAAGCTTTTCTCCTCTCTGTTTCTCTTCACCCGAGTCCTTCTCCTTCCACATATCCAGACTTCTACACTGACTTTTGATTCTCTTAGCATTTGAACAAAGCATAAGGGAAAGATCAGAAAATGATCTGGCATTAATATCGAGAGGAGGAGAGAGAAATAGATGGGGATGATTATTCTCTTAAAGCAATGTCAGGTGGGTCATTGAACAGAGATGAAAACAGCATTTAAGTTGGGACAATTGAATTTCCAGTCAACTCGAATGTTTAGTGAAGAACGTCATAAAAACGGTGTGATGGACCGCTTCTGGTTATATCACAAACAGATGCATCTTTCTTTCCACTTTTTTGTATTGCTAAGTCTTTGAGCTCCCCTAATGTCCAGGAAAAGGTTTTATATTCAATGGGTGTATTCCAATTCTGGCACCAAGAACTGGTCTTCCTTTCTATTTATCAGACTGGATTCCTTCTCTCCTAGTTCTTCATTGGTCAGGGTGGGGTCTGGTGGCTGCTTGGCTTCCTGAACCCTTAATAACTGATAAATCTCAGTCATCTAGTCCTATGTTCTCGATGAACTCCCCAAATCATTCTTTCTTCTGAACATGCAAATTTTTCCCATGTGTCTACAGTATATAAATAGCTCCTGTAACTCATTAGAGGACACACAAGTCATTACAAGGAAACATTATCACTATCAACTATAGAGTTAATTTGTTATATAAATTAAACATATTAAAGTAAATCTGTGGAAAAGCTATATGCTTCTTATTTTTCAGATATTCCCAAAAATGCTAGGAAATAAGAATCGGACCAAAGGAGCAGGATTATACGAAATTAACATCTGTGGTAATTCTTATGAGAATGCAATGTGACATGACACCTGGAATTCTCTCCTGTAGTTTACCAGGAATGCTCTGGTGTAATTCCACCCAGTAGAATATTACAAGACAACACATTTTTTTTCTTGGTATAAAAGATCATTGATTACTGAAACACAAATATAGACCGAAAAAGCAAGACTCATAAATAAACCAAGGGAGCCTGTCACAAGAGACGACTGCACTGATCAGTGTCTAGACACCCATCTCTGAACAGTAATTTATTTTCAGTAGGACTTTAAACAGAAATCCCTTACTAAAGCAAGGTTCATTCACGTCTCCCAACCCTTCACCTGGTGGAATGGTGAAACTTGGGTGACTTCGATGAGTTTGTTATTCCATTTGAGTGCTGATTCGAAATCATTCTGAAGATTGAAACTTCAAAAGAGAAACTTTGAACAGCCGCGTTTTACAGCCAGGGACTCAACACCATTTTCACTTTCTCTACTCCATGGTCACGTTCGCTTAGTTACGATGTTTGGGACCCCAACGTATAGGGTTATGTCATAAGCTAGATTCAACTCATTTCCCAGTTCACTCTGTTAGAGAACGTGCTCATTTCCAACAAGGCCAGAAGTGGATGCAGCAAGTGTCATATCAAGAGGGCACAACTTACCATATCTTTCAGGGCTGTGAGATTTGGCCATAAAATTTCCAGTTGCTGGTATATTTTGCTCTAAAATGTGGTTATTTCTCATATCATTTTTATGATCCAGTTCAGAAATAGTGTCAAATTATTTAATATAATTAAACCTAAGACATTCTACTTAGAAGCCCATTTTTGAATTGTGTAAACACTGACTTTGCAAACACACTGCAACATTTCCAAGGCCATAAATGATCATCACCATGCAGAATCTGAGAATTCCCATCACTTCTGTCAAATTCCACAGGCTTATTCCTCTACCTATTCAGCATGAAAATCTGCAACCAAACAGTCCAAAACTATAATTCAGCAAATAAAACACCAGTGCAACTCCTGGTGGAGTTATAGCAAAGGCAACTCAGACTACAAAATGTGCAATGCCAGAACTGCCTCTCTGTTTAAGACCCTCCAGTCACAACTAAATGCATCCTTTAAATCATCTGGCTTTTGTTATTTTAAACCAGGCCCTCCACATTACTTTAATGTGAGGGTTACTTGAGAACATAATTGCTAGGAATAACCATAGTAGTACACTATTGTCAAAAACGAAGTGTCCCTATATTTCCCCCACTCCCAGGAGTCAGGCCATGAGCTCCATAATGTATGTTGTACATACAGATCTTTGAAAGGAAAGAAAATCTTTGAAACCATATTAAGATTCCCAAGTAGGACCACTCAGCTAAAGAACACCTATTGAAACACCATAGTAAATGCAGCTTTATTTTTTTTTCTGGCAGAACAAGGGAACAGAATTTGTACTATTGAATCACACATACATACCCCAAATCAACAGAACCACAACTCAACACATCATACACAAAAGCACACACACACACAGTCTGTGGATTATGTTTATCAGACTCTAGTTTTATGAAAAATAAATCTAATTCTTCTGAATCAGCATCTGAAAGCAGCATGCAACCAAAAGTCACAACTGGTCTACCTCAGAAGGCAGCTAGATAAGCAAATGAACTATTGGTTAACAGACAACCCAATCAAGATGAACCAACAAAATAAGTTATTGGCTAACAGATTAACTACCTAAGATGAATCAACCAAGTAATCCATTAGTTAACTAAGTACCAAACCATGATGAGGCAACCAAGAGGGCCATTTGTTAACAGATCAACCAAGATGAACCACCCAAGTGGTCTATTAGTTAATAGAAGAATCAACCATGAGAAACCAACCAAGTGGATCACTCTTTACCAGAGAAACAAACCAAGTGATCTATGATGATGCCATACACAGTTTGATCCAGGAGAGAGAAAAAAGAGAAGCTCCTGAGGAGCCCAGACACACACTGTGAAACCTGGAGGTGTGACCACTGCAGGGGTCACTACACGGGACTGGAAATGGATCACACAGCTGTACTTACGAAGATTATTTATGGGGGTTCTGGTGTCCATGTTCTCATAATGCTGGACGTGGACCACGATGTTGAGGTCTCTCTCCATGTGGTCGGTGTTGCAGTGGCCCTGTGGCCTCATGACATCTGCAAGGGCCCTGGAAGAAGAGAGAATTTAAATCTGTTCATTCAAAACAATGACTGGCACCACTGTGCTCTGGGCACGGGGCTTATGAACAAAAGACCAGTCCCCTTGGAACTGCCATTCTTCTTAGAGGCAAAGGGCAGAAAAAGACAGAAGTCAGTCAGTAGGATCACTGCCATTAGAGATTACAGTAAGGGCTTCATGAAGAACTGTTCACATGCCTCTCACAATAGCTGTGTCATAGCAGTGTTACCTGCTTTATAGCTGTTAAAAGGATTAAATAATGAATACATGTAATGCGTCTATACCCGCAAGTTTAGTCCCCTCCTATAACTAACTCTAGATACCACTACGTACAGCAATGACCCACGATTCATAACCATAACTAATATTTATGGGGTACTTACCATAAGTCAGGCACTACAGTAGTCACATTACATGCCTTAATTCAACTAAGCAGCATACAAACGCCTTATGAGGATTATTACTCCTTCTTTGCAGATGAGTAAACACAGGCTCAGAGAGGTGAATTAACCTGCTCAAGGTCATACAGCAAATAAGATGTAGCACAGGGATTTGATCCAGAGTTTGTAGTCACAGCCCTGCACACTGTGTGCACTGGGTTTCCTGTAGCTCTGGAGGATCTGTCACACCCCATGCTGGTGCCCCTTTAATCAGTAGTAGGGGGAGGGGAGGCCTAGAACCTGGGCCACCAGTTGCATTTTGAGCCCTTTCCATTTAGCATCGTATTTAATCCCCTTGACACTCACCTAAGGGTCAATATTCCTATTCCTATTATTTTACAAGTAAGGAAAAGGGGGGGGGCAGTGTTAAGTGACTGTGTCAGCTTCCCAGGGTTGCTGTTACGAAGTACCACAAACTAGGTGGCTTAAAACAACAGAAATGTGTTGTCTCACAGGTCTGGAGGCTAGAAGTCCAAAATCAAGATGTTAGCAGGGCCATGCTGCCTCTGAAACTCTAGGGGAAGCCTTCCTTGCCTCTTCCCCACTTTGGTGGCTTGCTGGAGTACGCTGGTATGCACTGCTTTGCAGCTGCATGGCTCAGGGCTCTGCCTCCGTCTTCACAGAGCGTTCTCCCTGTGTCTCTGTCTTTACAGAGACGTCTTCTTATAAAGGCACACACCAGACATACTGGATTAGGGCCCCATCCTTCTCCAGTATGACCTCATCTTTAACTAACTATGCCTGGAACCATCTTATTTCCAAATCAGGTCATATTCTGAGGACGAGGGCGGGTGAGGACTTCAACATATCTTTTGAGGGGCGGGGGGGTACACAGTTCAACCCATAACAGTGACCTTCACCATTAAATATCAACTTAGGAAGGACATTCAGTGTTTGCACACAGAACAGAGCAGAGATAACTGTCACACAGAAATGCACCTACGATCAGACCACACTAACGTGTTTTCTTCTCTTTATCTATCTTCCATGCATTTATTTAGATAGATAAATATCCTCAAAAGACATACAATCAGCCCTTGAATGATGCAGGGGTTAGGGGTACAGTCAAAAATCCACCTGTAACTTACAGTCAGCCCTCCTTACACTCAGTTCTTCCTCACACTCGGTTCCTCCACATCCCTGGTTCTGCATCTGTGGATTCAACCAACCACAGATCATGCGGTACTGCAGTATTTACTATTGGGGAGAAAAATAACCTGTATAAGTGGACCCACACAATTCACAACAGTGTTGTTGAAGGGCCAGCTGTGTGCTCCTGCAGATATTATTGGATATGTATGTGTCTTTTACTCACTCACAAGTGCTTGCTAGTATTCCAACACAGGCAACCCCCGTCATTTCACTTACCAACAGAGATGACTGTCTCAGTATACAGCAACTAGGATGGTGGAGGGACTAACCAATCAGAATGGGTGCCACAACTGGATAACCAATCAGAATGGAACCAGCAGAACATCAGTCCTGCTTGTTCATATGTTTCCCTGAGTCTGGACACCTAGATGGTCGCCAGCTCCCTGCCTCTGTAAACAGCACAAGAGTCAACATCCTCATACAAGCCCCTTCCGGGACCAGGGAGAGTCTCTCCAGGGTACGTAGCCACAAGTTAATAGTGCCATGTTTTAGGGTTTATCTGGATGTTTTCAACTGACTGGAACCCTCTGAGTCCACATCAAGGGAGGCAAGGCCCACACATCCCACCTGTGAACTCTGTGGGCCCAGGCTGTCTGCTGAGATTTATACTCCTCTGCAGCAGTGATTCTCAAAGCTGTCGGCCAACCAGCAGCAACAGCATCATCTGGGAACTTGTGAAAATGCAAACCTTTCAGATCCACCCAGACCTACTGACTCAGGAACTCCAGGGGTGGGGCCCAGACATCTGTGTTTTCACAGGCTGTCCCTGTGAGTCTGTATTAGGGTAAGAGAGGCCCCAAGCTTGGGGGGATGGCTGCTCATGGGACACTGGGGCGATGGGCCAAGAACCACAGCCAGTAAGAAGTGTCAGATGTGAGACACAGGTCAACACAGCAAGAGCCCCCATGAATCAGAGGAAAGACTGAGTTGCTAAGAGAATCACAGCTCCCTTCACTCATTCATTCATTCACTTAACAAATATTTACTGCTTACTATGTGCCAGGCACTATTCAAGGATGTAGCAGTGTGCAAGCTGGACAAGGTCATTGTCTTCATGGAGCTTATATTCTAGGGGAGAGGATAAAAGTAAGTGTCATCAACAAGAATGGATAAAGAAGATGTTGTATGAGTGTGTGTGTGTGTGTGTGTGTGTGTACACGCAACAGTATATTCCTCAGCCATAAAAAAGTGAAACATTGCCATTTGCAGCAACATGGATGGACCTAGAGATTATCATACTAAGTAAAGTCTGACAAAGACAAATGTCATATGACATCACTTATATGTGGAATCTAAAAAAATAATACAAATCAACTTATTTACAAAACAGAAACAGACTGACAGATGTAGAAAATAAACTTACGGGTTACCAAAGGAAAAAGGCGGGGAGAGATAAATTAGAAGCATGGTATTAACAGATACACACTACTATCTATAAAATAGATAAACAACAATGATTTACTGTACAGCGCAGGGAACTACATTCAATATTTTGTAACAACCTATAATGGAAGAGAACCTGAAAAAGAATACATGTTCTTCTTTTCACTTTCACTTCCTTTTTTCACTTCTAAACAGGTTCTTTATATGAGTTCCAAGGGACCTCTGAACCCCTCTGGAATTGAATGGTAATTTTGTTAGTGCACTTTTCCCAAACAAGAAGCCATGGCTTTCATCAGATTCTCTAAGGAGTCTTCTCCAAATTTCAAAATATTCAGATATTCAAGAGGATAGGGAAGTAAGTAATCAGGATGGCTATCCATGAACTTGCCATTGGCAGATTCCCTGGGCTTCCTCTGAGTGTGAAAATTCATGAAATTTACACAAAAGCCACGGATACTTTTTCCCAAGGCAGCCCTTCCCAGAGCATGTGGTGGAGACGGAGATTCCTAGAGACCTCCACATCCTGGACAAGGAGTCTTCAAGGTGTGGGTCACTCACTCAGGGACTGCCTAAAATCATCTGGCATAGGGAAGGAAATACGAGAACTTCTATATATGGCCTTTAGTCATTAAAAATGAGAAATTGATTTAATATGTGAATTGATATTGGTGGCTTCACTCGGAACACCCACGTCAGCTGGTAAAACTGAGAACCCTGGACCAAGGAGGGTGACTGGCAGCGGCACCATCATTAGGGTGTATCTGTGGTGTTGTAGCTATGTGCACCCCTAAAGGGGACATGCAGGTAAATTATCTAGTTTTATTAAACTAACCATCACTACACGGACATGTAGCTTAAAAATAAACCACCCCTTATAACAAAACCACAGCCTGGAGGTAAAACTGATGAAGCAAGCACAGGGAAAAGACAGACTTGACTCTCCCCTTTCTCTTTGACAGCTTCTCACAAAGTTAAACCAGTGATGGTCTATTCAGATCAAAATGAAGTCAGCCAAAGATAATCAAAACTCTTGTGAAGAATATTCAAAATATGGACTTAATTATGAATGATGGGTTTCATCCTCACCACACATTAGGCTCTACGATATGAGCTCACCACTGCACGAAATCATCACCATTAACAAATTGTAAATATTTACTTCACCTTCAGCTTGGGCTCAAAACCCCTGTGCTTTAAAGAATCTGAAAAGAAAATACATGTAGGTATGTATATGTATAACTGAATTGCTTTGCTGTACACCTGAAACTAACACTGTAAATCAACTACACTTCAGTAAAGAATAAAATTAGGCTTTGAGAAAAACTTTCTGGCCTTTACAATGGCACCTGATTATCGTTCACTGATATGTGCATGCACTTACCAGTAAAACAAACGTGCATATATTGGGTTGGATACTAAAAACTGTGTCCCAAATAGGGACATGTTTTGAAAAATCAGTAAATTAGACAGTGGAAAAGCCGACTAGGTACAATAAGCCAAACAAATGCCCAAGCTGGTCTTTATTTGTGGCACGTACTTTGGGTGCTTCTCAAACTTGAATGTGCATTCAGATTACCTCAGGGTCTTGTTAAAATGCAGATTCTGATTCAAGACGGCTGAGGCAGGGCCGGAGATTCTGCTCAAAGCCCCAGCTGATGAAGATGCTGCTGGTCCCCAGGCCACATCTGAAGATCAAGATCCTAAAGGGACTATGATGGTAAATTTTCTGGGTGCCACAGGCTGCCCAAAGATTTGGTCAAACACTCTTCTAGATGCATCTGAAAGGGCATGAGATTTTTCGATGAGATTAACATTTAGATTGATAGACTGAGGAAAGCAGATTGCCCTCCATCATTTGGGTGGGCCTCATCCTATCAGTTGGAGGCCTGAATAGAAGCAAAACAAAAGGCTGACCCTCCCCTAAGAATGAGAGAATTTTCCTGCCTGATGGCCTTTGCCCTGGGACGTCAGCTCTTCATGATTCTTCAGCAACCTACTGGCTTTCAGATTCAAA